AGGAAAATCAAGAAAGGAGTGTGTCAAAGAAAAAAATTCGTGAATTATTGAGTGAATGGTTTCTTTTCCCAATCTGCATTCTTGGAATCCAGCCAGACATGATTTTCTGTGCCTACCTTTAGGGCCTTAGAGTCTTTGAAGTGCCCTCTGTTCATCTCCCCCTAGACTGTCGTTACTGTTTAAGCCAAGGTACGTCCTTGCTCCTGATGGTAGGTGGGGAAGGCCATCAGACCTCTGTTCTCTGCTGAATGTAGGCTGCAAGGAAGAGTTTCAACTGGGCTGTTGGATTTAATGTTGACAGTTGTGGGATCTGGTTGCTCCTTTTTCTCCATGGGTGTTGCCTTTATCCAGGACTGGGTCAGTTGGTTAGTCTTTGCCTCTGCTGTGCCATGCCAGGCTCCTGTCAGGCCTGGGCATGGTTCTGCCATTGCAGGTCTGCTCTCTCATGGGTGGGAGCAGAGCCCTGCTCCTCTGGCCCAGTCCCCTCTCTCACATAGGGGATGCTCTACTATGAGGCTGCTCTCTCACGTTTTGGAGGGTTCATGTTCCAGGTCTGCTCTTTCACTTTGTGGATGGGATATTTGCTGCTCCTCCAGCACCGGTCTGCTCTCTCAGGTTTGGTATGTTAAATGCATTTTTTACTTATGATATTTTCAATGTATGATTAGTTTACTGGGACACAACCCCACTGTAAGTTGGGAAATACCTGTATATTGTTGGATTCAGTCTGAAATTAAATTAAAAAGTTTTAATAATTCATGGGTCTGGGTCAAAGGAAAGAATGATAGAAATTAGAAAGTACTTTAAACTAAACAACAATAAAAATACACATATCAAAATTTTATTTAATTTCCAATTATTTAGAAACTTTCTAAATATTGTACTGCTTTCTAATTTAATTCTAGTTTGTTCAGAAATATTTACAGAATTTAAATATTTTTAAATGTATTGATACTTCTTATTTTTTCCAACATATGACTCAGCGTGGTGTTCTACAGGCACTTGAGGGGCAAAGGAGTTTTCAGTATGTGTTATGTGTAATATTCTATAAATGTCAACTCAGCCAGGAGAATCAGTGGTACCATTCAGATCCTCTTTCTTCTAATTTTTGTCTAATTATGTCATCTGTTACTGAGAAAGTACGGTAAAACCAGCAACTGTGATTGTGAATTTGTCTTTCTTTTGTTCTTTTTTCTTTTGTTCTCTCCGTTTTTGCTTCATGTATTTTGAAGCTCTCGTATTAGATTTTGCACAGCTTATAATGACTATTACTAGCTTTTAGAACATATTTATAATTATTATGCTTCTCTAATGTATTGACCTCTTGTCATTAATGAAATATCGCTTTCATTTTTTCTAATAGTCTTTGTCTTAGAGTCTCTTGTGTATAATATTAATATAGTAACTCCAGCTTTTTAGTAAGTTGGGTTTGAATGGTGTATCAGAGTTCATCTGAAGAAACAGAACCTACTGGAGATCTCTATTTGTATGTTCATACAGGTCTACAGCTGTGTGTGTGTGTGTGTGTGTGTGTGTGTGTGTGTGTGTGTAGGGGAGAAAAGAGGGGAGAGAGAGTGAGAAAGTTTAAGTGACTGGCTGGTGTGATGTGCAGCTGGAAAGTCTGAAGTCCGTTGGAGAGGGCAGGCTGGCAGGCTGGCAGGCTGGCAGAAGCTGAGGCACTAGCCTATTCCCACAGGCATAATTTCTTACTTTTGCAAAACTTCAATTATGCTTTCTAAAGCTTTTTAACCAATTGGATAAAACTCAGATTCTGGAAGATAATCTCCTTTACTTTAAGTCAAGTGGTGATGTTAATCACTTTTATAATACGCCTTCACAGCAATGCCTAGATTACAGTAACTAAACACAGGGACTGAGTACTACAGCCAAGCCAAGCTGAAATATGAAATGAACCATTATGAAAGGTATACCTCTGTTTCATCCTTTAACTTTACATTGTTTTGATATTTCAAGTGCATCTCTTATATTCAGCACATACTTATCTATTTCTTTGTCCAATACTTATCTATTTCTTTGTCCAGTCTCTGGTGTGGTTTCCATGTATTCATTATGTTTTGGTCAGATAATCTACAACTTCTGATTAAAGTGTTTAATTTAAGCAAGATACAGTGGCTCATACCTATAATCCCGGCTACTTGGAAGGCTGAGACAGGAGGATAGCAAGTTTGAGCTCAGTTTGAATGACTTAGTGAGACCCTGTCTCAAAATAAAAAATTAAAAGGCCTGGACTTATAGTTCAGTGGGAGAGCACCCCTGGATTCAATCCTCAGTACCCAAAAAAATGTGCTGAATTCATCCCTTTAGGTCTCATATTTTCTGTTTGTTTTCAATTTATTTCATTTGTTCTCTTGTTTTTCCTCTCCTGACTTCTTTGTAACTAGTCAAATATTTTACTGTTTTATTTTTATGCTTCTATCGCTTCTCAGCCTTTTGGCTAAGATCAAGTGTATTTTTATGCTTCTACAAGCTTTTTGACTATGTTCTGTGCATTTTAGAAGTCCAGTTATAATAATATAAATCTTTAATGTAGCACAGTGCATATAGTTAATGTTACAGTGATTCATACAAAATATGGGAATCTTGCTATATGTACATATATATATATATATATATTTCCATTTACCTCCATACTTCACACTACTTTTTATTATATATTAACATATATAGGTAATAAACCCCCTCATTACAGAATTATAATTTTTGCTCTAAACAGTCCTATTTCTTTCAGTGAATGTGGGTAGAGATAAGACAGAATATGCATAACCTTTTATATTAACCCTCACACTTATCATGTCTGATCTTTGTTTTTCCTATAAGTCTGAGTTGCCATCTGGTGCCATTATCCTTCAGCCTGAAAAACTTTCTTTAATATTTCTTGTAGTGCAGTTGTGCCCCTAATGAATTCTCTTTACTTTTAGCTTAAAGTGTATTTTGTCTTCATTTTGAAATCAGTTTTGCTGAACATAAAACTCCACGTTAGCAGACGTTTTTCTCTTTTTTTCTTTTTTCATCATTTTAACGATGCTGCTCAGTCATGTTGTGGCTGCCATGATGTCTAATGAGAGGATGGCCGTCAAATTGGCCTCACTGCTCATTGCTGGATGCTTTCAGAGTATTCTCACCATCTTCGGATGTCAGCAGTTGGTCATTAGGTGGTCTGGTGTGGTTTTCTGTGTATCCATCTTGCCTGGCATTTCCTGATCCTCTTAGATCTCTTAAATTGACGCCTTTCAACAAAACACATTATGTTTTGGTCATTATTTCCTGAAATATTGTTCAGGACATTCTCTTTCCTCTTCTGCTTTAACTTCAATTACATTCATCTTAGACTGTTTGGTGTGGTGCACTGTCCTCCAAAGTGCTCTGCATTTTTAAAAAATACACTTCTCTGTGTCCCTCCAATAGAATCATTTCTATTAGTCTGCCTACGAGTTCACTGACTCTGTTTCCTGCTGTCTCCATTCTGCTCTTAGGCTCATCCTGTGAATTTTTCATTTCACTTTTGGGACTTTCCAGCTCTATAATGTCCATTTGGTTATTTTATTATAGTATTTATTTTTCTGCCAGGATTATCCTTCTTCTCATTTATAATCCATATATTTTCTTTTAAATTCTCATTCATAGTTTAACAGCTGCTTTAAAGTCTTTGATCATTGCAATACCCAGATCTCTCAAATTTGGGTTCAACTGGTTGATTTTTAATTGAGTATGGGCTATGCTTTCCTGTTTCTTTGCATGTTTAATTCTCAGTAAATACTAGATATTGAATGATATGCTAATGATGTTTTGGAGTCTGTTAAATTTCTTTGCAGGGTCATCTTTATTCCAGCTCTCAGTTAATGTGGCTGGACTCAAACTCCAAATTCGGTCTCCCTTGGGGCGAGCAACATCTGAAATCTTTGGTCAGTTCTTTCACCTTCTAGCTCCCTGATGTCTCATGGTACTTGATAGTGCAGCAATCAGCCAAGGATTTGATCCAATTTTATATAGGTAGATTCTGCATAGATTTTGGATTTGACCTTCTTCAGTACCTTGCCATTGACACCTGCCTTCCTCCATTTTCTGGTCTCTCTTCCCTATTACCCCAAGCTAGGAGGATCCACCACCGGTTCCTCGCCTGTGACGTGCCCTCAGAAATAGGCTGCTCATGCAGAAATCTGACTCCTTGAGGTCATTTTTATCAAGGGAAGACATTCCTTCAGTTTCTGATCAATTTTAGTTATTCTCTACTGTCTTCCAATAATTGTTTTATTTTTATTTTTATTTTTATTTTTTGGTTTTTCTCCGGTACCAGGAACCGAACTCACGACCTTGCGCTTGCCAATGCAGGTGCTTTTGCCGCTGAGCTAAATCCCCAGCCCCCCAATAATTGTTTTAAATCATTTGTCTAGTAGGATGTGGTGGTACATGCTTGTAACCCCAGCTCTCAGGTGGCTGAATCAAGAGGATTGGGAGTTTGAGCCAGCCTGGGCTGCAAAGTGATACCCTGTATCCAAAAAATTTTAAAAATTAGTTTTGTCTATATTTTGTAGCTTTTTTATAGTTTTCTGTTGCTGGCATCTTCTCAGGGGCTGAGCGTGGGGACAGTCTATAGTCCAACAAGACTACTTTTCCATAAACTAGCCTCTATTATCTCTTTTTGTACAGTAGGAGACTGAAGCTCACCATAGCAATGGTGTGACTGGCTCAAAGTCTTACTGCTAATAATCACTATCCAAGTCTTCCACAGCTGATTGATAGGAGGGCATTTTTTTTCTTCTTTTGAAATGCTCCCATCCCCCTCCCTTTTCTCACCCTGCAAAGTTTTGCTCTGAATCTTGTGTGAGGTGTGAACATCCCACTGACTATCCAGGCCAGCAGGGTGAACCTATGGTGATATACACCATATTGTGGAATGGTTCTGAAAATCATAGAGAAGAATGTGTATCGTTTTCAAGTTGTAAAGTTTATGAACGACAGTCGTCCTCTTTGTCGTCAGTGTCTGATGTTGATGACAGATGGTGAAGCTACCCACATGAGTGAGGTGAATTTCATCATCAACTGGGGTAGGAGGAAGCCTCCAGGTTGGTCTTCTGAGAGTTTGATTGGGAAGTAACCCCACAGGAAGGGTACAGAGGTGACCCAAGAGGCTTTCCATAAGTAGGAAGCTGAAAAGTTGTGAAAACTTACAAGTCAGTTACAGGATCAAGGGTATGTGCAGAGAAGCAGGACCAACTGCAGAACCAGAAACAAGAAATCCAAGTATCCGATGAGCACCCTAGTTGAAGAAAACCTATAGGAATAAAAAAGCCATGGGTGTCATGACTCCAGAAAAAGAAGAGGCAAGATGTTCCCATGCCATTCAGCAGTTCCTGGGGGAGGCCTGCTATGACCTGGAGAATAGGTTCATTCCAAGTGCCAGAAAGGAATGCTCTGTTGGAAGATGGGGACAGTACCTCAGGCCTCACTAAGGACTTCCTGGTGACACTTCACAAGAATGGATGAACCATCATTTGTTATGAATATGAGGCCCCCAAAAAGACTTACTCTGCATCCCAGAGAAGGTGCAGATGCTGGCAGACCCAGGCTCTGCACACACTTTACATTCATTGCAGTAGTAGCTAACATGCCTGGCCAGGCAGTGTTCTAACTTATGTGTGCGTCTTCCAGATGTCTCCATACTTGTGAGGCTGTCTCACAGCAACTCTGTGAAAACCTCACACACTACATTGCCATTTTGCTTTCTCGTTCAGTCTTCAGGAGGTTTATCAAGAGTCAGTTCCCTAAAGATAGATGTCTCAGGTTGTGCTCCAGATCTGAAAGCTCTGGATTTGCAAGCAAGGGTTTGCAAGCAAGGGGCCAACCACAAATTGTGGTGACCCTGCTTCCCACATACGCAAGTAACTGGCTGCAGCCTTCTGAGGCCTGGCATGGGGTCCCACCAGGCACCTGGCTTTGCGCGTGGTGGCAGTGGTTATGGTCACAGCTTAGCAATGGTGTGGCCAGTTTGGACAGTGTCTCAGGACCGGCACACCCCGGGGTTTGGCGGGGGGGGGGGGTGCCCTATGAGGGAAAGGGGTCCTGGATTCAGCAAATGAGGACTTCAGGTAGTTGCAGGAAGGAGAGGGGCTGCACAATGTGTAACTCTAGATTCTGCTTGAATGTGATCCTTTTGCCATCACCGTCCCAGCTTTATCTGGAGCACCCCATCTGGTGTCTCCACAGTGACTGGCTCAGTCTGAATTATTCTCCATGCAGCAGCCCTAGGAATCTTTCAGAAACATAAACCTTATCTCACCACCACCTGGCTCGCTTACCAACCCTAATCCTGCATGGCCTCCACTACTCTCAGGGCAGAGACCCAAGTCCTTACGGAAGGCCAAAGCCCTGCAGCCTGCAAAACACACACACACACACACACACACACACACACACACACACACACGCACACACACACAGCACACTCAGAGCTAAGCACACGCAGGTGCTTTGTGACTGAATGGCCACCCTAGCCAGAGACTTGGCTCTAAGTGACATCCTAATGCCTCCTTGGTTGCTGAAGCAGATCAAAAGAGCTCAAGTCAAAGTCCTTCCTAAAGCTCCAAAGTGCTATCCAAGTGGTGGGCATCCTTCTTCCCCAAGTGGAAGGCGGGAAGGAAGGAGGGAAACAAAGACCCACAAACGGGGCGCGGCTGGGCACGGAAGAGCGCGCGCCCCCGTGCGGCGAGGCGCGGCGGTGGCCGTGGAGGACAGGCCGTGGGAGCGGTGGGAAGCCAGCTGCGTCCAGGCTCTCAGCACGGCTGGGCCTGCCCTAGCTCGCTCGGGCTTTGATGATTGCTCCTGCCCCAACCCCCACCCCTCGCAAAGACCTGTTGCACGGCCAGCCCCAGGATGAGCTTTATGACCTGCCTCGGGTTCCCGGTAGCAGGCAGAGGACTGCTCTGAAATCCACTGTCCCATCTGGTTGTTCTCCTCTTCAAGGGAAATTCCCCTTTTGCAAGCTGAGGGTGTGGGTGTGTGGTGTGTGTTGGTAGTGCCGTCAGGCTGGGTTCTACTATTCGTTAAGTAGCCCTTCTCCTCTCTTTGCAGATAGGCACTATGTTGGATTAATTCATTTCCCATCCCTAATACCAACTGCCGCCTGGCACAGAGCAGGCAATCAGCAAAGGCTTACTGAATGGGCATGTGGGCTCATTTTCTGCTCTCTAGTGGGCATGTATTATCTGCATTGTTCTCATGGAGGAACTTGAGGCCTAGAATGGTCACCTGCCCAGGACCACGCAGCCTGGAAGTGAATAGGTACAGAGACACTGGGTGGGTGGGTAAGATGAACTACTCACAGGAGTGTCCCTAAGCTTGGTGGGGTCCCTAAATCCCCAGCTGCAGGGCAGAGCGGCCACCCTGACAGGCAGGCTCAGACCACCAGGGCCATCAGGTAGGGACCTGCAAGCAGTAGCAGTGGGGGCAGCTTTTGAAATGGCATCTGCTGTACTGATGCCTGGCAGGATTTGGACACCAAGTGGCCCCTTGGTGGGGTTGCTCTGAGGAAGAGTCTCCTGATCTTTTTCACCACAGGGAAATAACAGTACCCACGCCACACTGGAGAGAGGGAATGGGCCATTTTCAGCCAGAGGCTGAGAACCCAGGGCCCTTGGAAGGACCAGGTGTGGGAGGTTCTGTGTTAACCGCACCCCTGTAACCCTGTCTTGGCACACAGGCATACCACGCCTCGGTTAGGACTCTGCTCTCAGGGAGATGAGACTGGACAACCTATCACCCCTCTGAGGAAGAATGCCCGCCTCTCACAGGGAGCCTCAACGCCATGGCTTCCTGCTCACAGCCTTCCTTCATCTCCTTAAGCTCCCACTCCCCAGCAGGACCTGGAGCCCTGTTCCCTGCCCCAAATCTCCCTCCACTGATTGCACAGCCCCACTGTCTATCCAGGCCAACTCCCTTATGCAGGCTGTTGGGTGCAGTGGTGTAAGATATGGGCTGTGGAATTAGATGGTCTGGGCTCCACTCCTGGCTCCCGCATCTCCTATGTGGCCCTGAGCCAGTTCCTTTATTTCTCTGTGCTTCTCGTTTTCTGTATAAAAGGAAAGAGATGATCATCTTTCTCACAGGACTGTTGTGAGGCCAGTGGGCTCGCTGCTTCCAACACGAGGAAGATGCACGCTGAGAGTTAGATAGACCCTGGTGACACACACAGACAGCTTAGTAACCCTGTCCTCACCCTATGCAGTGCCCTGCCTGACTCTTATAATCAGCTCTCAGCTTGCATCAGCACCTCTGGCAGACTGGTGGTGTCTCATCTCCATGGTGGAATTGACAAAACCCTGGGAAAGACCCCCTGTCTACACAAGGATTGGCACTAAGTGCCGCTGGGGTTGGGCCTGGGCAATCAAAAGCCAGGGATTCCACAATGCCTTCATTACCTGTCATGTCCAGGGTACTGGGACAGTAGGGTCAGGTCACTGGCCAATGGCATAGCCTCTAAGGTGTTTATCTGAGCCCCCTGAGAACCAGTCTATCCACTTCCTTTATCTCCTATCTCTGAACTTGGCCTAGCAGACAGATTTCTGTGGCGGAATAGAACAACTTCCACCCAGTAAGTTCTCTGTTGTCCAATTACAGTCTCTCCTACTGCAGTGCGCCATTTATTGCGCTCTGCCTGAGAGGTGACAGAGGACAGATCTTCGCCCTCCTACTTGCCCCGGGCCAGGAAGATGATGACAAAATTGGGAAAAGAGGCACTCTTGAACATCAGAGTGAATAAAGAAGAGGGCTGAGGGACTCAGAGGACTCTCAGCCGGCCCTTCCTTGGGGTACAGGAGCCTGGGATCCAGAGCGATGCCCTGCAGTTCAGCGTGACTACCTCCTCAGGGTACACAGCTTGGCATACTTTGGCACCTGGCCTGCTGGTTCTCTTGTCCATGACAGATGTGCACAGACATATCCACACAGAGACCAGCCCTCCCAGGGTCAGCCGGCAAAGGTCCCTGGATGGAGGAGGCCAGGGAAATGAGTGGAGCTGTAGCTCTAAGATATGGCCTGGGGGCCTGGCCCTCTGGGGCTGGCTCTGAGGTGTTCCAAGGTGAGGGTTCATCCTGATCTGGATAAGCTCCCAGCACAGGAGGCCATCCCCACCACTCAGAGACCTAGTCAAATGAGGACTGAGACAGTGGTCGCTTATTCTGCCCCGCTGACTCTTCAGCACTGCTGTTCCTCTGAGGGTTGGCGGGAGAAAACAAGGGTTGGTAGCAGGGGAAGCTCTCCTGAATACAGCTAGGGCACAGCACAGATCTACAAGGCTGTACTTGCCCCTCTACCTCCAGTGTGTCCCTAGTGATGCCCCTTGGAGAACCAGGAATGGTGGGAAGGAAAAACAGCCCAGCGTATAGCCCAGGAGGAGGCTGCAGTAGCCTGAGCAGGTGGAAAACAGAGGGCCTCAGAAGAGTGAAGCACATCACTGCCCCTTCCTTGCTGGGGGCCTAGAAATTCTTTGGCCAGTCAGTCTTGCCCGGGCCTTTAGGCACGCTGGAGTCTGTGATCTCTTTAAAATGAAAGGGAGCTGGCCCAGCCCCCCTGTTAGTGCCCGGTGGTGTGGGCAGGTAGGGAAAGGTGCCATGAGAGAAAGAGAGAAGTGTCACCAACACCTCTTTCCACCTCCCTGAGATCCTGCTCTCTCATTGGCTGGGCTTGCTGGAAAGCCAGATGTGGTCAATAAGTTCTTTCTTGCCCCACCTACGATGAGGTCTAACAGCATTTCTCTATCTCAGAAACTAGCTGCTTTCGGTAGGACAAAGCACCTTTAATCTGTGACACTGGGCAAGACCTCACCTCTCTATTATTGGCCAACCTTTGGGGACAGATCTGGAGATAAACACTTGCCTGCACTCTGCACTAACCCTGTGAGGTGTTGCATTTCACAGGTGAGAAAACTGAGGCTCTAAAAGGTTACGTATGATTAAGTTGCTGGTGTGGAGCTAGGAGATGAGCAGGGGCAGGTCTGGGCCACTGTTCCACACTGAAGAAAGCATTGGTATGTCGAATTCCCAGAGCAGCTGTGGGGAGTGAGGAGATCCCTGCCCCGCACATGGAAGATTCACGTAAGAATCCTTCTATTTTGATTTGTTGTTTTGTTTTGTTTGTTCCACTACCTTTCACAGGGAATCAACTGTGGTTCCTCATCCTCGCCACCGGGTGTCTCCAAGCCACTGCTCAGTCACCCAGGGCCGAGGCTTCCTCTGCGGCAGCTCTTCCTTGAGTCTGGCTAAATCCTTACTACTACTC